CTCCGGGGTTGGAGTAACAGCACCTGCAAGAAGCCACGTAGCTTAGAGAGCTCTTTTCAGCCACCCCGGCCCGACATACCCCCATCCCCAAGAAAACGCCCCCCACGCCTCGGCAGCGGTCCTCAGGAGGATCAGCCAGCCCTAGCAGCCTGTTCCTTGAAAGTAACATTGTCTATTTGGACGTGTCTTCACACCTCGCCAAATTACTGCTCCCACCCAGTTAGACGTTGGTCTGTCTCCGCGAGAGCTCGGTGTTCGCCTTCACCAGTATGTCAGCAGCACTCAGCTTCCCTCTCTCCTGCAGGTATTTCATCAGATGAGGCCGCTGCCTCCACGTAACCTTTACTCCATACTCATGCTCAGGAGTGTCCGTAACCAGTACTGCTGCTGACTCCTCTCTCCCACAGGGATCAATACCGAATACCAGCTCTTTTTCTGGATGCCAGGCATGGCTACTTGTTTGTGGCAAAGTGCTGCTGCATGTCCAGTTCCTTAGGGGAGGAACCTGTGGAGTCTCTGTACCTTGTGGACTATAGACTTCTGGCTCCACAGGCTGGGGAGCAGGTAACAAAAGTATTTCTCTACAGTTCTCCGGACTGTTCACCTGGATGGTGGCTTTTGCTGCTGTCCCTGTCTTGGGCTGGCTGTGAGAGTGCTGTGGGTTCTTCCTTGAGCAATTGGGACGATCTGAGGGGTGGACTGGATATCCTTCTGGATTCTCAAAAGTTAAAGGGGGAAATCTGCAGGCTATAGCTCTTCGACAAGCTCCTCCTTCAGGAAGCCAACTGTGGTTGGCATCCTGATTCTGGGGTTTGCGAGAAGCATGATCCTTCTTCTGGCATGCTTTCAACGCCACTGTCTTAGTTGTTTCAAATTGTGGGCACACCTGAAGGGAAAGACATAGTAAGAAGAAAAAAAAAAAAAAAAAACCCCAACAATTTTCTCCAGACAAAGGAATGCCAACCTCATTCTACTCCTCTACTCCTCCACCTATCCCATCTTTTTCCAGTGTGTTTATTAAGCAGGTAATCTGGTCCACAGCAAAGCAAATCAGTCACTAACCAGGCTGCTAAGCAGGAGATACTTCTGAACTTCAACATCGTGTTCTGCCTTTCTGGAGTAACAGACCACCCAAAAGCCACTTCTAAAATCAGCTTTCTGTAGAAGATGGTCAAAGCTCAGCAATCTGTATTACTCTGAAAGATTCTGGACTCTTACTCAAAACTTTGAAATCCTTCTATTACAGTATTCTTTATCTTCCTGGGTATCAACAAGAGTCAGGTTCCGTTTCTTGCAATTTGATTTTCCTTAGAGCACACCAAAGTGGGTTCTAGCTACAATACCTACAGATCCCTTTCAGCATTCCTAAGTTACTACATAGTCCCTCAAAAAACTAAGTGCAGTTTAATTAAGGATAATGATTATCTGCTGTACAACTGAACTGTTTGAATGCAAAGCCTTTGTGCAGGAAAAGAAAGAAATGATTCCCTGATAATTGTATCCTGGCAAATACTTGAACCACTGACTTTAAGGATATGACTTCCTAGCTTCAGAGAACACATAGGGTAGGCTTTACGAGTGCAGGAGCCTAGCAGTCAAGAGGATATGAAAAACTTAGATAACATCAAGAAGAGAGGAGCAGAAAATCATTTGGCGCTGAACCAGCTGACAAACTCTGCAGGGGATGCTTCAAGAAGTTACAAACCTGCCAGGATTTTCTAATGGAAAAATATCTAACAGTTTCAATACTGATAGCTTCAAACAAATTTTAGAGTCATTGTATCTTTGGAATCAAAGAGCTAAGTACCAGCATGGATATTTCCACCTCTTCCAAACAACAAGAATGCTTATTCACAACAGTTATTTTACTTAGCGTTTCAGAAGCCATAGAGCTAACTGCCTCAAGCATATAAAAAAAATTAAAGGGGGGGGGGAAATCAAACATGTTCTACTTCAAGGTTAAGGCATCACAAAAATAACTCCAGGTCACCAAGAACAAAGGAATGTTTCATGCAGGTTTGAAACCACGCTTCCTGAGCCTACTTTGTGAAAAGCAGGGAGTCAAGCAGCAATAATGCTTAAACAGAGCTCCCCTAGGTAATGACGAGTGTTGTATAGGAACAGTCTGTCTTTGCAGCACCTGTTTGCTTAAAAAGAATCTTTACATTATATGATATAAGGAGTATCTTAGGACACTGCAAACAGTCCCTGGAATATTTTTCAGACCAGAAAAGGAGCCCATCAGAAGCATGATATGGAGAGAAACTATTCAAAACACACAGAACAGAGGAGAGGGCAAGTTAAAACAAATAATCCTGAAGGGAAGGCCTATGTTCTCTAAATTCAGCAATGTCAGATTTAAACAAAACACCTAGTACTTTAACATGTAACATTTAGAGTTCAGCAGTTATTTCAAGCAACAAGCCAATAAAAAAAATCCTCCTAATGTTTATTATGTGCAGGGTTTTCTGTTGCCAAAGAAAACAGCATTTTCCTGATGAGAATTAGTTTTTCAGAAGACAATCAGTATACACTGCACACAGTTTTATGCCTTCAAATAACCAAGACATTAGTGGTTGTAGTTAGAGTGTGAAGCAACTCAAAAGCATTTATTTATGCTTTAGGCAGCTACAACACATTCAGGTCTGTGCTACTAATTTTCAGTATCCACAACAGATAGCTTTCTGTTGAGACATACGGAAGAAACTTGAAAACTGTTGCTGTGGGATGCAGAGGGAAGGATAATTTATACCAACCCAGGCAGCAGACGTGTTCTGATCTACAGGTTTTGCAGGAACACGTCTTGGATTCTCGGCCAAAGGCAGCGGAGTTTCATAGCAATGGACGGGTCCCTCTCGCGGCTTCTCAAGGAATACCAGCTCTGCTTTCCTGGCCTTGTGGGTACATTTCTTCTTCGGAGGCATCAAAAGATATGGTAAAATGACTTAGAAACCTCATGATGCTTGCTGGAGCCAACTGGAGAAAGACGAAAGCACCCCAAGGAGGTGCTGAAGTGCTCTCAAATCTGTAGAAGGCAAATAAATGGACTTGAAGACAAACTTGTTTGGAAACCTCAGCTCTAGTTTTTAACAAAAGTAAAACATTTATGCAACAGCACAGTGTACACATCTCTATGCAGACTTTTTCCTAGCAGTAGTTTCTGAACCTTCTGTTGAATTTCAGGTCGATTCAGAAATGCACAGCAGAATAGACAAATGCTCTAAAGCTTCATGAAAGCTGATAGCCAAATACATTGGGGAAGACAGAGACACAAACAAAACAAGTGTCCCAGCTGCAAAAGGAGTTCTGAACTGGCCTTTGGCCAAGACTCAACATTACTGGAAAAGCTAGTTTCTTATGAAAATATGTGTTTTAAATACACAAGACTGGCAAGCTCACATAAGCATTTTTCTTCATAAAAACATCTTAGAAGTAATTTGAACGACATCTATCTATGATAAGGCCTGACTAAAATACTGAAATATAGAACCAACTGTATTTAGAATAGGCTTGGTCACTGAGAAATTTTAAGGAAATTCAAACTGCTGGGAGAGAAGGAAAAAAGAAAATTGAATGGGAGTGGTTGACCTACTGAACCAGTTAGGTCAAGTCAGCTATCAAAATAATTTAAAGAAATAATTTCATCACATTAGCTCAATATCTAGTTTAGTCACAAACAAAGAATGGCTTAGGAATTTAAAGTCAGAAAAACTTGTTTTCTTTTTTCAATTTAATCCATAAAACTGGTTTGTAATGCCAAGATATATTGTAGGGCTGAGACAACCAGGAGTCCTTCCATTTCTAGTTGCTAACTACCTGTACTTTTTAATTTTAGGAATTTTTAAGTTTTTAAATGCAGAACATACTTGATGCTTCCCTCCTGTAGATACCTTGCATGTTTTTTTTTTTTACCTAGTGAATAAGTTTTAATTGAAATGACATTGAATTTAATTTTCCATTCAGAAACAGATTAGTACAGATGAGGAATTTTAAAGAGAGCATTTTCTGAGAAATGCATTCTCTTCACCAAAGGCATAAGACCGCAAAAGTCTGACTGCTTACCAAACGCGCAGCCTCCGCAGGGAGTCCTGCGAGCCCCCCTA